GACCTGGACAGACTGGACACCTGGTCCAGCAAATGGCTTCTCGAATTTAATCCTGCCAAATGCAAAGTCATGAAGATAGGGGAAGGGCACAGAAGACAACAGACAGAGTATAGGCTAGGTGGCCAAAGACTGCAAACCTCACTCAAGGAGAAAGATCTTGGGGTGAGTATAACACCGAGCATGTCTCCGGAAGCACACATCAATCAGATAACTGCTGCTGCATATGGGCGCCTGGCAAACCTGAGAACAGCATTCCGATACCTAGTAAGGAATCATTCAAGACACTGTACACCGTGTATGTCAGGCCCATACTGGAGTATGCAGCACCTGTTTGGAACCCGCACTTGATAAAGCACGTCAAGAAACTAGAGAAGTACAAAGGTTGCGACAAGGTTAGTTCCAGAGCTAAGGGGAATGTCCTATGAAGAAAGATTAAGGGAAATCGGCCTGACACACTGGAGGACAGGAGGGTCATGGGAGACTATGATAACAACATATAAAATACTGCGTGGAATAGACAAGGTGACAAAGACAGGATGTTCCAGGAGGGGACACAGAAACAGAGCCACAATTGGAAGTTGAAGACACAAATGAGTCAGAGGATAGTAGGAAGTATATTCTTCAGTCATAGAGTTGTAAGGCAGTGGAATAGCCTAGAAATGACGTAGTGGAGGCAGGAACCATACACAGTTTTAAGGACGAGGTTTGATAAAGCTCATGGAGCGGGGAGAGAGAGGGCCTAGTTAGCAACCGGTGAAGAGGCGGGGCCAGAGCTGGAATCGACCCCTGCAACCACAAATAGTGAGTACAATAGTAGGTGAGTACACAACACCACACACACACACACACACACACACACACACACATACACACACAGAACAGAGGACTTGTAAAGACCTCAGCATAAGATTTCAAAATAGCATCACAACTGAGCAGGAACCACAGTGAGAGAAACAGTCCCTTTGAAAATAAGGAAGACCCCCACTTACGAAACATGTAAACACATCCAGCAGAGACACACACACACATATATCAGAGACAAGGCAACCAGGCACCCAACCCATAACCTTGAGAAATGAAAGAGAAAAGGCAAAAAAAAAACTTAAGAAAGCCACGTCTGTAAGAACAAAGAGCAAGTCACTGGACACGAAGAATGCTAATGACACCCCAGAGACAGCCAATATGCTGCCAATATTCAAAGGAGATATATAAAAGATATTAAGTGGCCAAGTAGAGACAAGTATCCCTGACATAAATACCATCTAAGGTGCTCAACAAAATATTTAGAGAGATTTAAAGAAATACTTATAGGGAAGAATTTTATTTAAGCAAATGTGTTACGGTAACTGGCAATTTTTATTAGATACAAATTTTGATTTTTTTTTCCTCTAGAGGTTGACAATTTTAGGCAGAATAAAGAAGGTTGAGTTGGTTAATATTATAATAAAAATTATTATTATTATTATTATTATTATTATTATTATTATTATTATTATTATTATTATTATTATTATTATTATTATTATCATTATTATAATCAGTAGTAGTAGTATTAGTATAATTATAATAATAATAATAATTGTTATTATTATTATTATTACGGTTTTGTAGATGAATGGTTCAGAGAACCGACATGTTGATAAATTTGACACATGTGCAACTCTTGGGTATCTTTATTGAGGAAACGTTTCGCCACACAGTGGCTTCATCAGTCCATACAAAGGAGAAACTTATTATTACTTTTGTTTAACAAGATAAATATTCATGTTAATTAATACACCTTTAATTAAAGCGGAAATAATGAAGCAGTAAGAGAGAAGTAGATCATGTCAATGGACGATTACATTCAGATGTAGAACTCTGGAATCTTGCGCTAGCGTCAGATGATGGGCGTCGGAACATTGCGTCGTCGGCGGCGTCTGGTGACGAGCGTACCTGCGTCTGAATGCGGCCGACTGGAGCTCAGTTTTCACACGGTAATGATGGTGGGTAATGGAATGCATTTTATGATGTGTCATTTCTCTCTCTCTCTCTCTCTCTCTCTCTCTCTCTCTCTCTCTCTCTTTCTCTCATCCTATATGGGCCGTAGGATCTATACAGGATGAGGGGTTCTCACCTGTATCCTTCACCCTGGTTACTCCTGGCTTCCGGGTTCCTGTATCCAGGTGACACATAAATCCTCTCACAGTTTTATATATATATATATATAAAAATATATATATATATATATATATATATATATATATATATATATATATATATATATATATATATATATATATATATATATATATATATATATATATATATATATTCTTTAATGTATCACCCAGTTCATCATTTTTTTATAATATTTTGATTTTATCGGCATATTTCAGATATCCGTATACGTACATCATTTTTTTGATGGCCACTCTGGTGTTGCGAAGTTCTTAGTTCATTATTTAATTAAATTGCAAAATCATTCAGACATACTTATTAAGAGAGCTTAAAATACCTGTCATGTAGTGATTAGACACTCACACAGCTATGACTCGACCCCTGCAATCACAGTTAGGTGAGTACACACACACACACACACACACACACAACACACACACACACACACACACACACACGCACACACACACACACACACACACACACACACACACACACACACACACACACATACACACACACACAAATACACACACACACTCTCTCTCAAACATTTCTCTTTCTCAGTATTTTTGAAACTAGAAGCTGTTACAAATACCAGCTCAGTTGTTATCGTACTCAGCTCAGTTGTTATCGTACTCAGCTCACTTCGAAATCGTTGTCATGGCAATATCACTATTATAATTCCGAATTTCTTCTGTGTTAAGTTGCATCTACACAGGATATTGGGTGAAGCTAGAACCTGCTGTCTTTATATTGTGAAAGTACTGTCTGAATGTTCATTCATAGTGTGATGTCTTTAAGTGTGAGATAACTGGTGACTGCCCGTCTTGGGGTATAATACCTGCCTTCAGGGCGCTGAGTACACATGTCATTAATCTTTTCGGTGAATTTCCCACACTAAAAGACGGTCGAGCCTTCAAAACTCCTTGCGCTGACTAGCCTCAAGAACCATTGTATTGGAGGGGCTTCTAAACTGTCGTGTGTGTGTATGTATATATAAATAAATATTATATAATAAAATATATATATATATATAAATATTAATAATATAAATATATATATATATAATATATATATAAAATATAATATATAATATATATATATACACACACACTTCCATTGGTCCCTCCATCTAACTGGTGACATACTGCACAATCGCTAATACACAAGTCATATCACAAGTCATACTACGAGATATAGACTGAATGCTCAAGGTAATTGCCATGACCTGAGCAACACTGTCAACATGCTGCTCTGCAACATAGCCAACATGCTGGTCCGCAACATAACTCACATGAGGTACTACCAACTCCAAGGGCAATGAACACACATGAGAACATCATGACTCTTTACTGACGACAGTGTGTGTGTGTGTGTGTGTGTGTGTGTGTGTGTGTGTGTGTGTGTGTGTGTGTGTGTGTGTGTGTGTGTGTGTGTGTGTGTGTGTGCGTGTGTGTGTGTGTTTAACCAGGGTGACTGATTACTGATACAAGCTATAAACTTAAATAAACTAGAATCAAGAGTGTTTGTCGCGAGGCAGGAGAACTAGTGGTTAACACTATTTAAATCACGGAAGATGACCTCCTTATCGGAATTCCGAGACCAAAATTTCACTGCCTATGCGACTCAACAAACATGGAAGGGTTCAACCAGTGGCTGAGAAGTGGGGTCCAAGAGCTGGAGCTCGACCAACACAGGTGAACCCACAGGTATCAGTTCCTTCTTGCCTTCTTTCCCCCCTCTTTCCCTAACTCACCTTCCCCTCTCTCTTCACATCTTTCATCCCCCCCCTCCCCTCCTCAGTGCACACATAGATGTTCACATACACGCAAGAATGCGCAGACACACACACATACACACACACACACACACACGGATACGCACACACACACACTTCCACGGTGCCACACACACACAGTGATTCGACCTTCCCAATACAAGCCTCGTCACACCCACCTATATATACCAGCCAGATTGCAGTTTATCCTCAGTTTCTTGCTTGCTACCATTGAAAGAACTCCCATTTTAAGGTAAATATATATATATATATATTAAATATATATATATATAAAATATATATATATATATATATATATATAAATATATATAATATATATATATATAATATATATATATATATATAAATAGGTGAAGGAAAAACGATAAATTTTCAAGAAAAATTCCATTGACTGCTTTAAATTAGCATAGGCCTAAGCCTTTTTCTCGAATACTAATTTTGTATAAATTGAGTTCATGAACTCGAGTCAAAATTAAAAAAAAAAGGGTTTAAAAAATATTATTTATTGTACTGACGTCAGCAGTCTTAATACTTTGTCACGTTCTAATTTATTATTATTATTATTATTATTATTATTATTATTATTATTATTATTATTATTATTATTATTATTATTATTATTATTTTAAAATTGAAAATTTTTAATCATGCAAATTCTAAATGTCTATTATTAAATTTTTGAGCATTCATGTTTTAGTAAAAAAAAGGGAAAAAGAATAACTTCTCAGAAACTGATAAATAACCAAATTTTCACTATTAACCCACAAACTGGAACTGAAAACTGGACAAGACGTTTCGGTCCTCCTATAGGATTAATCACTCCAGGACGGACCGATACATCGTCCTATTTTTATTGCCAATCTGTGGGTTTATTGATGAGATTCTCTATATTAGATTTCAAAAGGCTACTGGCTGGAGAACTGTCTCATCAAACAAGATATTGGTCATGTGTCTAATTCATCAATTCATTGGTCATGTGTCTAATTCATCAATTCATTGGTCATGTGTCTAATTCATCAATTCATTGGTCGTGTCTAATTCAGGTATTGGTCATGTGTTTAATTCATCAATGTATTGTAGGTTCGTAGTGAATTGTTCCTGTCAGGGAATTGTAATTTTTTATGCCCTTTTTTCGCAGATGATGTGGGCTTATGGTCGCTTGGTGCTAGTGGTGGTGGTTCTGGTAGCTATGGCCACAGCCGAACCTGAAGCGAAGGCTGATCCCAAGGCTGAGGCAAAGGCTGATCCCAAGGCCGAGGCAAAGGCTGATCCCAAGGCTGATCCCAAGGCCGATCCCAAGGCTGAAGCTTTACCCGAAGCCTCGCCAGAGGCCGTAGCGGAAGCTAAGGCTGAGGCGGACCCTGGCTACCCAGCTCCCTGCTACCCTGAGACCAAGTATATCCAGGCTTACAAGACTCAAGTGGCTCATGTAAGTGACTCTTCCAGCGAGAGGATTGTTGTCCAGGGAGAGAATTGTTGCTCATGTAGTCATGGGAGGAAGGGGAAGAACGGGGAGCCTTTAAACCATTTCACACAACGCCTGGGGAGTAGGATGTAAACAGGATTGATCTAAGAAACAGGAGACTATCTCTTCTAGGTACAAAGCAGCAGAGACCCCTGGGATAATTTACTTTCCTTCAGGTTAGATATATACACTGCGTTTAGGTTATTAGGTAGAAGAACACGTTTCGCTCTCCACGAATTTTGTCCAGCCTTTTACCCAATATGCTGTGGATAATTCTACTAACTTCATTTACAATTTATGTATAGGTATTACACAGGGATTCCAACACATACAAAAGCATGAACATAACTTTCCGTGTATATATACACACTTTTTGCAGAGTAATATCACGTCCAGTTAAAACATCTTTTTGTTGGATTCTCACGTCAGTGAAGCATAACTCTGTTGCCTCAACTAATAACTAAGAAATAACTAACTCCAATATATCCTAACTCAGAGGCATAGAAACAGAGGTAAGACCCAGCACAATACGAATAATTATGTAAGCATACGAAGGATCACTACAAGATGTCTACTGGCCCGTGCTAGGCAGGTCCCTCATTAATTGAACCATTTTTTAATCAGTTCATATATTTGTCTTGCATATTTTTTAAAGCTTCCTAAAGTTTTAGATTTAATGACCAACAAGGCAAAGTGTTTCCCTCATCTGTAACCCTATTGAGTGTCAGTAACAATGGATAATGTTTGAAGGAAACAAGTTACAACACCACAGTAGAATCCCAAACAAGAAAAAAAAATCCTTCTTTGAAAGGGCAATTGAGACTAGTTACAAAACTACAGTAGAATCCCAAAAATCCTTCTTTGAAAGGGCAATTGAGACTAGTTACAACACTACAGTAGAATCCCAAAAATCCTTCCTTGAAAGGGCAATTGAGACTAGTTACAAAACTACAGTAGAATCCCAAAAATCCTTCTTTGAAAGGGCAGTTGAGGCTAATTACAACACTACAGCAGAATGCCTAACAAGCCACTACTAGGGAATTGCTTGTTTTGCCCATCTCTCGTTGCTATTGTCTGGTTCAATAGCAAACACAGTTCGAACTTACGCACAAATTGGTAGCAAAATATCGTCCAATTTCTCATTCCACTTCTGTGGTTTCCTTGTAGATTTGAAGTCAGTTTTCCCCAACAGTATATTTGTCTTATATTTCTAATCACCAGGACGGGAAGCAAAGGCTAATTAACTACTATAATCTTTCATGGTTTTTTTTTCAATGACTTTCATATTCTCTAATGTTTTTTTTTAATCTTTATTTAATGTATTGTTTATATGTACCGATTTTTTCTAGGTTATACTTGTGTAAATAATATTTTTTTGTTATTCTTTGCAGTATCCAGTGTACGAGACGGTGTACAATAAGCAGATCGTTCCCACTACCCTCTACAAGACAAACTACCAGACTTTGTACCAGACCAAGTACCAGACGCAGTACGTGCCCAAGTATGTCACCGAAGTAGTCTATAAGACCCAAGTTAATTACGTCACTAAGTACCAGACCAACTACCAAACTCAGTACCATACACAGTACGTCACTGTTCCTCAGTATGTCCCCACGTACGTCACTGACACCCACTACCAGACTAAGTACCACACCCAGGTACAGTACCAGACCTTTTACAAGACCGAGTACACACCCCAGTACGTAACCAAAACCAAAGTACAGTACCAGACCCAGTACCACACTCAAGCAGTTCCCCAATACGTGACTGTCGTCCAGGAACTAGTCGGCTACAAGACAGTTTGTCCCAAACCAGTCTACGGGTACCACTAAAACCTCATAAGGACCGTGTTTTAAGCTCTCAAGATCTACAGACTTCTCTCTTCCCACTAACTACAGACTAACACGTATTGCTCGATCATTAACGTTACCACACAGAAGACAATTTTCCTTCATTAAGCCTACAGTCCTCCAACCGGACCTATTATACTGGCCCACTACGGTACAAAGATGGAAGTCAAAATGCACCAATAGGTTCGAAAGGTTCTACTGGCTTGGGTGCGAGTCTTTGAGAACCATGGTTCTCGGATGTTGAAAGATGAGGTAGAGAGCGAACCAAGAAGTCTCGTTGCCCGTACGTCTGTCTAATCTCCTGCCTCGCCGCCCTGGGTTACGTACGTCTGTCTTATCTCCTGCCTCGCCGCCCTGGGTTACGTACGTCTGTCTAATCTCCTGCCTCGCCGCCCTGGGTTACGGAAATTTGTCTTACATTGTATAGTTCCTTGGAGTTCCTGTGCATTCCTGAGGCTAAATTGATTGTTTGGTTAATCGGGCTTAAAGCTCATCGATTTAAAGCTCATTGAACAAGTCATTAAGGCTATAAATAACCTCTTCACCACCAGTCAAGATATTTTTAATCCCTAAAATAGGGACCAAAGTCTCTCAGTGTATATACAATGAGAGATAAACATCTCTCGATGTTTATATTTTGAGTACAGATTCCTTTGGCCTCTGGCGATGCATACAATCAAATCATCTCTCTATTTTTTTTTGTACAGACTAATCATATAAATATATTGTATAGTATTATATTTTTTAATATTTCTATCATATAAAAAATATTTATTTTAGGTCTTTCTTGACGCTACGAATGATTTAGTGAACGCTTAAAACAATTATGCTTAATTCTCTTCGGAATGCTGAAACTGATTATTTTTTGGTGAACGCAAAAAAATGCTTAATTCTGTAATGAATGCTAAAAATGCTGAACACTTTTTAAAGAGATATTTTTTATACCCAAATAATGCATTATACATTTGCTACTTTATTACTACTGTATTTAACTACTGTATTTACATACACAGACACTCCTATATTATTTATTTTTATACATGTATGTGTAACCCTTGAGCATGTTACTATGGAAACAAAAATAAAAAAAAAACTAACTCTGTACAGCCTAGGTATACGAATGTAAAACCAGACGAATAAAAATATATCTGAATTGAATAAATATATTTATTGATAACCATTTCAATTACTGATTGGAGACAGAAAAAATTAACGATATATATATATATATATATATATATATATATATATATATAAAATATATATTATAATATTTAATATATATATATATATATATATTATAATATATATATAATATATATATATATATATATATATATATATATATTATAATATATATATACATACAATGTTTATCATTCAGTGTACGATATATACACAGAAATATATTTATCAAGTATCCTCAGGTATATAGCAGATCAGTATTTTGGATCTTTAATTGTATATACACCGAGAAGTATGTATCTCTCAGTATATATGTCTTTCTATCTATCTATCTATATAAGTATATATATATATATATATATATAATATATATATATAAAAATATATATAATATATATATATATATAATATATACACAGATATATGATATAATATAGATAGATAGATAGATAGATAGATAGATAGATAGATAGATAGATTAGATAGATAGATAGATACTGATGGTTATTTCCCAGTGTATATGCACCGAAAAGCGCATATACACTGGGAAATAACCAAGTATATGTCCCTATATGCACCGAAAAGTGCATATACACCTTTGTGTATAAAAGCCCAGAGATAAGTATCTATTAGTACACAAACACTGAGAGTTGTATATCTGTCAGTATGCATACACTGAGAGCTTATTTCAGTAACATATTTTGCACATGCAGTCATGACAGTGCATGTGAAAACCTGGAGTCATAATGACGGAGATACAGTCAGTGTACACACACTCTAACATGGCGGATGCGCGCTGAAATATACACGTGTACCTCTGTATTGTTGTCTTTAGTACAGTTTAAGAGAGACATAGTAGTAGTTTGAAGAGTTTCTGACTTCATTAGTTAGCTTATTAGGTTTAAAACTTACCTACTACACAAGGGTCATTAAGGCTACCTGGTTGGTTAATGGGGTTTAAAGTCTATCTACTACACTAGGGTCTTTAAGGCTACCTGGTTGGTTAATGGGGTTTAAAGTCTATCTACTACACAAGGGGCCCTTTAAGGCTACCGGGTTTTGGGGTTAAGCCATTTAATACATAAGGGTTTTAAAAGCTCCCTTTTGGTTAATGGGAAAGTTATCCAAAAACTATACGGGGGCCTTGGCTGTCTATATGATCCGTTTATTTCACCTTTAAGCAACTTTAATATACTAAAAATAGTTTTTTTAAATATTTCCCAAAATTATCCCAGGGAAATTACCACTAAAGTAATAATTTGGCCCAAAGTCACTAGATTAATTTATGTAAACCTTGCCTTAAAAACTTTAATAATTACGTAAAAATGATTTTTTATTTAAAAAAATTGAAATTTTTCATTTTCCCCTAACCATTTATAGTTAATAATTTCTCCCCCCAATTTTTAATTTTCCGAATTGATGTTTTTGGGTTAATAAGGGGGCTTGACCGGGGGTGCACTTTAATTCAAGTTAAAAGGGGGGTGAACAAATAAATTTTTTCAGGGAAAAAATATTGGGGTGAATCAATTTTTAAAGGGGGCCAATGAAGGTGAATCAGGGTGAATAGGGGGTTTTTCACCCCCCCTTTTAAGGGGGGTAATGGGGGGGGGGAGGCTGAAGAAGAGGGGTGAATCAAGAGGGGTGAATCAAGAGGGGTGAAATCAAGAGGGGGTGAATCCAAGAGGGGGTGAATCAAGGGGGTGAATCAGAGGGGGTGAATCAAAAAGGGTGAATGAGGGGAGGGGTGAATTTCAAGAGGGGGTGAATCAGAGGGGTGAATAAGAGGGGTGAATCAAGGGGGGATGAATCAAAGGGGTGAATTCAAGGGGGGGAATAAGAGGGGTGAATCAAGAGGGGGTGAATCAAGGGGGGTGAATGAGGGGGGGTGAATCAAGAGGGGGTGAATCAAGAGGGGGTGAATCAAGAGGGGGGTTGAATCGAAAGGGGTGAATCAAGAGGGGGTGAATCGAGAGGGGGTGAATCAAGAGGGGGGGGAATCAAGAGGGGTGAATCAAGAGGGGGTGAATCAGAGGGGGTGAATCAGAGGGAGGGGGTGAATCAAGAGGGGTAAATCAAGAGGGGGGGGGAAATCAAGAGGGGGTGAATCGAGGGGGGGAATCAAGAGGGGGTGAATCAAGAGGGGGTGAATCAAGAGGGGGTGAATCAAGAGGGGGTGAATCGAGAGAGGGTGAATCAAGAGGGGGTGAATCAAGAGCGGCTGTATCAAGAGGCATTACTAAAGTACCGAAGCCTTCAAGCAACAGGAGCAACAATAACCTTCCAGGGATACACATTACCAACGTCACCAACATCGTGACTTTCCCACGCAGTTCACCTTTGCAGTCACCAATATGTTGCTATATGTTTCTATGTTTTACACGGCTTGCAAAAATTATGTTGCACCTTTGTAGTAAAAGATTTTTGGCAGTTATGCTGCTAACTTACACAGTTTATACTTTTTACTTATATATATATATATATATTTATATTATATATATATATATATATATAATATATATATATAATATATTTTATATATATATATATAATTAATATTAATAGTATAATTTAAAACAAAATGATAAAAAAAATTTTATAAATAATTTGATAAATATAATTATTAAGTCATTATTATTATTATTATTATTGTTATTAAGTACTGAACTTATTTGCATGTTAGTCTCGATCCTCCGCCAGTTTCTGACCAGCCAGGTTGTTTGTAATCGTTTCAGTACCCCCTTAAAGTTCCTTGAAAGCAATAAATACGTCGGAAGAATTTTGCAGGAATACGGAGATGGCAAGTCTCGTTCTAGGAAATACCTTGAAGGGAAGGGTAGACTGCTTTTTTCCTAGACTGTAAGAAATCAGGCGACATAGTACCATACAGGATACTAACACATAAACTGAAAGGTGGAGTAGGTGTTAAGGTGATAAAGTTGGATTCAGGAATAGGTTGGTAATAGAAGGCACAGGGGTAAGAGAGGAGGTGTGGTAGCTGGCACAGATGAAGAGTGGGGCTCCCCAAGGATCAGTGTTTGGGTCCCTCCTGTTCCTGATGTATGTAAATGACTTTCTAAGTTTGGATATAGAAAGACTTTCCTCTAGATTATTAACTCTAGAGCCTATTGGGTTAAATAACCTTCTAGGATTAACGGGAGAGAGTTAATATCCCAGTATAACTCAACACTTTCCTTGAATTATTTATTCAGGTAAGTTAATAATTCAGGATAACCAGGAATTATTAACCCTTGAGGGTTAATAACCCAAGATATTGCACCCGACACGTCTTTGTTTCGGAAATAAATCACTACAAATATGAAGGAAAAACTAAGAAAAATCAACATATGTGAGCCTGGAACATGTACACATACATGTGTTTGAAGATATGTGGCATTAACTGTGTGTGTGTGTACTCACCTAGTTGTGGTTGCGGTTGCAGGGGTCGAGTCACAGCTCCTGGCTGTGTGTGTGTGTGTGTGTGTGTGTGTGCGTGTGTGTGTGTGTGTGTTTGTAAACCTGGAAATTCCTTCTGTTAAGCACATCTTGAAGAGCCAACACGTACCATTGTACTCTCTTCTGATGCGCTAAACCCATTCGGTTCATCAACGAAGGGGGGAGTTAGTGAGCAGGCTCGATACTCCGGACTACAATCTTAAGCTAATATACCAGAGAGCAGAAAGACCTTACGAAAAGCAGATAAGGTCAACATAAGCGAGAGGCAGCGGCGCGTGGCAGACAGGTATGCATGACACCCAGCAATGCGTGTCATGTGGCACATGGGAGGGCAGGCACTCAACGACGAGTGACACGCAGTGGTGTGGCACTCCCACTCCCCCTACACCCCCCTACCCCCTTCCCTTACACAGACACACACACCTCCCCTCTCTCCCCCTTTCAACCCCACAGAAAGGGTCGTGTTTGGGGCTATAAATACGGAACCCCGGGTTCAGAGTGTCACCATTCTCTCTCTTACACTCAGAAAGTCACCCACAGCTCAGGTAAAGGATCTGACGTTTCTTCTCGGTTGATTTGTTAAGTTTAAAGCCTATCTACCAGACGAGGGGTCATCATGTTTAAGATCTGTCTACTAGATGAGGGGTCATTAAGGCTGCCGGTCACCTGTGTACCACCAGAGGGTAAAGATGCTTTCTTAAGGCCATTAAGACATCTTAATTTTTGCATTAAAGTACTAAGAATTTTGAAATCCATAGAATCCTTCATGAATGAGACACATACATATGTTTAAAGTCATTTAGGTGTTGCATATGTGTCTTATTCATTTATAAAGTCACATCCAGGTGTTGCATATGTGTCTTATTCGTCAACTTGCAACATATTATTCAACATTAATGTAATGAAAGAGTATTTGATTCTGTGAGAATTAATATTTTAGGAATGATAAAAGCTCACAGTGTAAGATGAACACAAAGAACAACAGTCAGAGATCTGGAATCACTAGCACATTCACGTGGCCACAGTCAGAAAGGATCCTGATTGTGGAGGATCCTGATTCGATCCTCCAGAAGGGGGATCGAATCTTCATGGTTTTACACGGTTACGTAACACACACACATAGAGGAGGATATATGGCAAGTCGATTTTTCACTGAGATAGGCAAACCTGGTCTTTAAGACCATACTGGTGGACCACCATTACTGAGGTACACAGACTGGTTTTTAAGACCACACTGGTGGACCAACATCACTGAGGTACACAGACCTGGTCTTCAAGACCACAGTGATGGACCAACATCACTGAGGTACACAGACCTGGTCTTCAATACCATACTGGTGGACCAGCACCACTGAGGTACACAGACTTGGTCTTCAAGACCACACACTCGTGGACCAGCATCACTGAGGTACACAAACGTGGTCTTCAAGACCATACTGGTGGACCAGCATCACTGAGGTACGCAGACCTCGTCTTCAAAACCACAGTGATGGACCAGCACCACCGAGGTACGCAGACCTGGTCTTCAAGACCACACACTCGTGGACCAGCATCACTGAGGTACACAAACGTGGTCTTCAAGACCATACTGGTGGACCAGCATCACTGAAATACACAGACCTGGTCTTCAAGACCACACTGGTGGACCAACATCATTATAAACGTATAAATAATGATCATTATAATAATGATACACAATATCGACGCTCCCGTATCTTTCGTCGATACATATACTTCATCTTTCTCATATGCGCGAAACGTCTTACTGCAGACAGAAACACAAGTTGCCGAACCAGCTTTTGTTGGGACAACATTTCGCTCTGTGTAGAGCTTCAGAAGGTCATGACATGATAAAAGTCAACACAGAGCGAAACGCGACTCCACAAAAGCTCCACACAGTGAGAAACATCGTTCTGCTACTGGTCTCCTTCATATGTCGCATGAGTCGGCACATGAGAACCCCTGGTTGTGGCTGACACATCAGTTGACACATACCACGTCTGACACATAGACTCCGACACACAAGTGTCCTGGTATAACTCAGTTCACATCCAGTGACACAGAGAGAAAAAAAAATTCTTCACGAGCCGCTGAATATAGCAATCTGAAGGAGCTGGGGTGGCGGGTGGGGGTCGAACTGTGGTCTCCTGCTTGCGTGTGAATTCGTCACGCTACCCTCGACCCATGAACAATAAGAAATAACCATTTTCTGAATGTATATGAGAGGGAGGGGTGGAGGGAGGGGAGAAGGGAGGGTAGGAGGGAGGGGAGAAGGGAGGGTAGGAGGGAGGGGAGAAGGGAGGGTAGGAGGGAGGGGAGAAGAGAGGGTAGGAGGGAGGGGAGAAGGGAGAGGGGATTAAATCAACCAAGATTAACATTGAAGTATTTCTTTAAATTCTCTTATATCCAAATTTATTACTCACTATCGCCCTCATACTCTCTTTCTCTTTCTTTCTTTCTCTCTCTCTCTTTCTCTCTCTCTCTCTCTCTCTCTCTCTCTCTCTCTCTCTCTCTCTCTCTCTTTTCTCTCTCTCTCTCTCTCTCTCTCTCTCTCTCTCTCTCTCTCTCTCCCCTCTCTCTCTCTCTCTCTCTCTCCCCTCTCTCCTCTCTCTCTCTCTCTCTCTCTCCTCTCTCTCTCTCTCTCTCTCTCCTACACATACAGGGTTTTACAGGTTAGGTTAAAAGTTCCTAGCTTTATTTACAGTCTAAGATCTCGTTTGAAATCATCAGCTGATGTCAAATCTCTCTCTCTCTCTCTCTCTCTTCTCTCTCTCCCTCTCTCCTCTCTCTCTCTCTCTCTCTCTCTCTCTCTCTCTCTCCCCTCTCTCTCTCTCTCTCTCTCTCTCTCTCTCTCTCTCTCTCTCTCACGTAAATCATTTCTGCTTGATGTGTTCACAACTCGTGACAGACTCGTGTTCACACAGCATGGCAACATCCTTGACACTTGTTCAACTACATTTGTGTAACAGCAAAGTCATCTGTAATTGTGTGTGTGTGTGTGTGTGTGTGTGTGTGTGTGTGTGTGTGTGTGTGGAGTGGCTTAATGGTTCCCTGCTTTTCGACAGACAATGATGTCCGTGACTCGAACCCTGCTGGTGGTAGCGGCAGTAGCAGCAGCGGTACTGGCTGAGGCAGAATACCCAGCACCATGCTACCCCGAGACCATCTATGTCACCCAGTACCAGACGCAGGTCCAGCAGGTCAGTACTGGTACAGGTCCAGGTCAGTACTAGAACAGGTCCAGTAGGTCAGTACTGGGACAGGTCCGGTAGGTCAGTAATGGGACAGATCCAGTAGGTCAGTACTGGGACAGGTCCAGTAGGTCAGTACTGGGACAGGTCCAGCAGGTCAGTACTAGAACAGGTCCAGTCTATTAGTATTTCTATTTTAGTTTTTATTATTATTATTATTATTATTATTATTATTATTATTATTATTATTATTATTATTATTTATTATTATTATTATTATTATTATTATTATTATTATTATTATTATTATTGCTTGCAGGTTCCAGTATATGAGACGGTCTATAAACAGGAGTACATACCCACTACATACTACCACACCCACTTCAACACCCAACACAAGACCCTCCACCACACCCAGTACGTCCCCAAGTACATCACGGACGTGGTCTACAAGACCAACGTCCAGTACGTCACCAAGTACAGCACCCACTACCACACTGCCTACCACACTGACTACGCCACTAAGATCAAGTACATTCCCAAGTACATTACCAAGACCCAGTACCAGACCCAGTACAGGACCGACGTAAAGTACCAGCCCGTCTACGAGACCATCTACAAACCCAAGTACTTCACCAAGACGTACGTGAAGTACCACACGCAGTACGAGACCCAACTGGTCCCCCAGTACTACACGGTGACCAAGACCCATCAGACCTACAAGACAGTGTGTCCCAAACCTGTCTACGGCTACGGCTTCTAAATTTGTGGCTCGACTCCCCTACGCTCACTCGGAGACGACGTGTGTAGATACGCGCGTAGCAGGACAGGCTTCGATTGTAGCAACGTTTCGCTCGGCTTAGAGCTTCGTCGACAACTGACGCAGCACTGCACAGGGCGAAACGTCGACCCGATGAAAGCTTCTTCTGTGTCTTCACCCAAAACAAGATGGCTGATTTTCGAGAAAAAAATATATATATATTTTTGTATAAAAATTTCTCAAGCATTAAGATACACTTTATTGAAAATATTAATAATAAGTCAGAATAAAATTGGGCAAGAATGAGATGACAGTCATTAGCAAAAGAATAAAAATAAATAAAAATTAATAATAATTATGTAAATAATAAAAACATCATCTCAGACTCTGTATAAATATTTATTGCTATCCAGCTTTATTGTAGGATTTATTCTGCTTTATTAATATATTATTTCTGCTTCACGGGTTCTAAGATGTAATTATTTTATATATATATATATACACATATTTAAGTTATATTCTTCAGAGCTGTTTTTTTGTTACCCTCCGGTGATTGGTATGTCAGAAGGCGCTAAACCCGTGTGAGTGCGAGGTGACAGAAGTAGTAACAGCCTGTCGAAGTAGCATATATTAATTTAAATATATGTATATATATATATATATATATATATATATATATATATATATATATATATATATATATATATATATATATATGCAAGGAATTCGCGAGAGCATGCGAAATATACACAAACACTGATCTCTGGCTGAAGGAGACTCGAACCTACGAACCTTAGGACAAGGTACGCAGTGCTTTACCAATCTACCCACACTGGACCAATACCTTGGCGTGTAGCATGCGCTACACGTTTTGGTCCAGTGTGGGTAGATTGGTAAAGCACTGCGTACCTTGTCCTAAGGTTCGTAGGTTCGAGTCTCCTTCAGCCAGAGATCAGTGTTTTTATATATATATATATATATATATAATATATATATATATATATATATATATATATATATAGTATATATACATATAATATATATATATATATATATATATATATAATATATATATATATATATATATATATATATATATATATATATATATATATACACACATATAAACATCAGACACGACCCCGTCTCTAGCTGTTAAATCTACATGTAAACAACACACGGAGTAGCCAAGGCAATACTCAAGACACCGCCAGAGTGGCTAACTTTTTCCTCAGTACCATCAAAGACTTAGTTCAGATTTAGATGGAAACCAGAGACATACCTCAGCCGGTGTTTACACTACACCTTGTGGAGGGTGTGAAAAATATTACGTAGGTGAACCTTTCATGTACATACCCATGAGCAATTATCTGATTGATCAAAATTGAGGGAGTGAACAACACCTCCTATCAAAGCTAAAGAATTGATCAACTCATAATTACCTTTTCACTTCTTCCATCGTCTCGAGTATTTATTTTTTGGATTAGATTGAAATAGTCACTTATTGGGAAATATCTCCATCAATGAAAGTGCTCAGGTATTGCACATGTGTCTTATTCAAGAGGATTAGAGAACACATGGTGTATTTGTCTGAAGAATGACACAGACAAAGCCGAAAAATTATACAACAGCACCGAGAAACACTTGCTGAATTTACTCGAAACCAAAGTAGTTGATAAGAAAACTAAAAGGTGAAGCAGACTTCGATTAGAATCAGCAAGGACCAACATAATCAAAACTCAAGTTCGATTTCGACTTCAGAAATACCGAACTCATTCACATTAAACCTAACACTGGTATTACAGAGCAACAGGTGACATCACAGACCCGCTCAACACCTCACAGTACAGTTTTTTCTCAACCAATATATTTATTCTATCATGTTTCTTGTTTCTGTGAGAATTCGTTCGTTCCTTGTGGAGGAGAAGTGTGATACTTGAGTGCCACAACCTGCACACTGTGTCTTACTTGTCTGTATTTCTTCACCTGTTTACAGTAACCCTCAGAGTTACAATATTCTCAGTCCTCCTTCAGAGTACAGGAACTTCGTGCTTCCACATCATCTACTAACTGGTTACCCAGGAATCCTTCATAAATGCTATACTTCTTACACTCCAACAACACGTTAATTCCCCGAAACCAGAGGTCTCCACTTACTCCCATCTAATAAATTCAAACAAGCCTTCCTTTACACCCTCCCTCCTACCCTTCCACTGACGTTTCCTAAACTTCCATCTATCCGTCCAGGGTTTAACCAACCTCTGGATCAAAATATTCTGTTCCTTCCTTCCTCTATACAACAAAACATTTCCAACAACCCGTTCTCTGCTCTCTGAATTATGTATTTCAGTCCATCACACACTCTTTTAATTTCTTCACTCGTTTTTCTCTGTATAATATTCCCACTTCACGTTGCTCTCAGAGCTAACATCTCCAGTGACTCCATCAGTACCATGGTATATTTCCTTTTTGCTTTCATTGATAATATTTTTTCTTTACATTGAAGGCTGAAGATTGAGACACTTATGCAGCATATGGGAATCTTTATTCAGGAAACGTTTCGCCACACAGTGGCTTCATCAGTCCAATACAAAGAGGAAGGCGTAAGGAGAGGAGGAGATTCCCATATGCTGCATAAGTGTCTCAATCTTCAACTTGTCGGTTTTTCAAACCATTTATCACACACACATTGAAGGCTCAACACTCCACCAACCTCATTTCCTTCCTGGTGTCCCATACACCAGCTTGTCAATACATCCATTCAAGACAGCACAGGTAAATCCATTGGCTTCCTCCATTCTCCTTGTTTCTATTCCCACATCCAATATTTCATTTCCCAGATTTTTTCCTTACTCTCACCATCTTGCTCCTGTCTGTACTGACTTTCAACTTACTTACACACTCTCCTTAACACTTGTAAATGGCAGTAGTAGCTGAGTTATCTGAAGTAATGGCTTTGTGAATTGCCATGACACGAAATGTATGCAAAATGAACCATACCACGGGCGGGATTTGAACCCGCGATCAGAGAGTCTCAAAACTCCAGACCGTCGCGTTAGCCACTGGACTAGCTAGCCACAATAAGATTCGTCCAACTAGGTATATTTCTACACCATAGGAAGGTTAGCATAGGCACCACTGTGACCACAAATGCAAGTTTTTACAGACGAATCTCCAGAGGTGCCTATGCTAACCTTCCTATGGTGTAGAAATATACCTAGTTAGACGAATCTTATTGTGGCTAGCTGGTCCAGTGGCTAACGCGACGGGCTGGAGTTTTGAGACTCTCTGACCGCGGGTTCAATCCCGCCCGGGGTATGGTTTGTTTGCAATCGTGTCATTACGATTTCGTGAGTCATGTATGCAAAATGGAAAGTATATGTACTGTAAAATGGCAGTAGTGGCTTGTTGGCAGTGCATAGTGGCTTGGTGATAAGGTATGGTGGCTTTATGACAAGGTATATTGATTTCAATAAATTATCTTATAGATAAAATACATAGCCAGCTGGTGTCTTTGGAAACTCATATTAGGTACTAAATTATGTGTCCTCACAGAAGAGAATTTTTTTCTGAAAGTTGTGGATTGGAAACACGATGTATTGGATTTGTGGAATGACTAAAACTAGCGTGAGCACTCACGAGGTCATGCTCACGCGCGCTGACATAAGAGTGACAGTCAGAAACGTTAACAAAAACGCGTTTTGAATGTTTTATTTTTATTGTATATGCACAATTTGCTCCTGTGAAGGCAGCTCCTGCATGATGGTGGAAAGTAGTGTCTGCACTCAGAAGAAGGAGTGGAGATATTGCGGTTCTGGTGGTAGGAAGTACAGTGCCTGCACTCTGATTATTTAGAGAGTATCTGCACTCTCTAAATAGTCTGCTGTGAATGTGGATCTTTTTTTACCAGTTTCCTCTACAGATTTTGCTATTATACGTGTTATCCCTCTCTCAAGAATATTTATCTACATCGTGAAAAGAAGTGGAGCCAGAACCAAGCCTTGATGAACGCCATTCTTGAAGTCTTGTCAGGAGTGCGCTGACTGTAAATGTTGGTGCAGTAACATGTACGTCAGGGCTGTTTCTTGTAAGATGGTTGAAAGATACGAAACTTGACCAAGAGTTGGAGCTTACACATAGCAATCCCAAACATGTAAGTATACAAGCAACGCACGCACGCACGCACGCACGCGCGCATGCATGCACAAATGCAAAACACATACGCACGTTCGCAAACACGAACATACATGCACGCACACATACGCTCGCACACGCAAGGAAGCACGCACTCTTCACGCACACCAGCACGCACACAACAACGCACACACTGCAGCAGGAATAATTAGAGGACACAATTGCGAATTGAGGAAAAACCAGAGCGGAAGAAATAGCGTTAAAAACTTTTGAGTGCCATCATTGGCACTGTTTCTCATGTTCTGAAAAGTGCCATCACTTGAAGTATGTCAGAAAAATTTTTCATCAAACTAATCTGAATCGTGGAAATATGCAATAAAATAACATTAAAGCACTGTTTTTTTTCTTATAAGGCAAGTTGCCACAATTCTGACATTTCTTAGCGTTTCTTCTGTTAGGAAGTGGATGACGAGAAGACTGTAGGGAGGAGGTAGTGGTAAGTGCTGCTACCAGGGATGATCTTGGAAAATGTATGTGATAAAGAGGGTATTGAAGACTGATGCTGTAACATACACACACACATATACATACACAGGGCCAGGAGCTCGGACTCGACCCCTGCAACCTCAAATAGGTGAGTACACACATATACACACACATACACACACACCTACTCATACACACACTGGGCCAGGAGCTATGCCTCGACCCCTGAAATCACAATTAGGTGAGTACACACACACACACATCAGTGAAGAGTGAAATTGCGTGAGGAAGCGGGATGTATGAGAATATATGGTTATAAACATCACGGGTGAAGGATCTCCAAAATAGGGATTTAAGGCCTACGTACGACGACTTCGTCATCA